TTTAATAACATCATAAATTTTCATATATATGAACCTATGTGGACTCTATTATTTTGGCTCTTCAACCAATTCCTGCATAAGAGTTGTTTAAATTATGGTGGCACTGCAATAAATTTTATTAAAATAGATTAAAATAGTATTTTCAAATATATAAATAACCATGATATCATTTAAGTAATTTTTATGGTGGCTATTTTTGACCCAATCTGAAAAAAACTAACTTTAATGAGATATTTAGAATTTTAATATTAAATTAAAAACATTAGAATTTTAAAAATTAAGGAAGAGAATGTTGCCATGTTTCTCAAACTCACCTCTCAGCTTAGTAAATATATAAATATCTTTTCCAAAAAATTGATGTAGATAGAGAATGGGCAGTACTTCTAAAACATAACCTAATTTTTATGATGCCCAAAAAGTATTATTAGAGTAATATGCCTCAGGTAATGTCTTCAATGTGAAACATCTCTTAACAAAGAGCAGTTCAAATAAGGACATGCCTTTTGAATGGATAAATAAAATGCCTCAAGAAATTGCAACCAAACATCCTTAACAAGGATAAACCATCTCGAATAAGTTTCTCTGAAAAACAAGCAACGAACATGAGACTGTACAACGTGTTCTTTTCAAAAGAGGAAACATTTAAGAGATACAAGACCAAAATTAAAGTGATAAATAAAAAGAAAAGCACATACAGGAAGAAAATCCCTCCGGAGAAAAGCATGGTGTACATATAAAAATCCCCAAGGGCATATGTAGTGTGGGCTGTAATGCCAAAGAACAAACTTCGCTAATTAACTCTAAATTCACTGACACATAAAGACAAAAAGAAGCACAAGAAATCTGTCTGTGTGGGGAAAGCTTGGGCCTGGGGGAAATGAACTATGTAAATTCAAGGGAAGTACTATATTCAAGGATTTCAAGTCACAACTTAGTCCGCAATCACCCCCCATTTGTGCAAGCCACATTTTCCCCACCTTTAGAATGTGTTCCTCGTGAGGGGCTGGAGTGATAGCACAATGGGTAGGGCGTTTGCCTTGCACACGGGGCCGACCGGGTTGGATTCCCAGCATCCCGCATGGTCCTCTGAGCACCGCCAGGAGTAATTCCCGAGTGCATGAGCCAGGAGTAAGCCCTGTGCATCTCCAGGTGTGATCCAAAAAGAAAAAAAAAGTGTTCCTCTCCACTCTCTTTCTATATAAACCCAAATTCTCCTTTCGTTCATTTGCATTTATGAATACAACTATAAAATAAGTTCCTCCGACTCTTAGCCAGAGCAAGGAAAGAAAGAAGGCGGCTGGTGAATGGAAGCTCGTCCCCTGGGGCTCCCCATCCGCACCCCAGTCACTCACCAACCCAGCCTGAACAACAGTGCTGGAACCCACCAGCACCATATGCCGAAAATGCCACATTCTCTGGCTCTTTCTGCCAGCACTTCCTGCCTATGCAGAGAGAGGTGGAAGGACTGGAAGAGGCAAAAGGTGGAGTCTGAAGGTCAAAGGGCTCCGAATACATGAGGATAATCATCACCATGCCTAAATTCTACTGTTTTTCAAAACTGATTCTATTTTTATTCCCTTTTGAGGACTTATGGGTCAAATTTTTATTTCACGTCTCGGAACCTGTTTTGAATCAAACAGACTGGAGCTTATCTTGAACTGCCATGTTGAGACTTCTAGGTGCAAATTAAACAGCCTGATTCAGCAACTCTGTGACTATAAAAAAACAAGAGACCATCTGCTGATCACAGCAACACAAAGCAGTTTTCTGTCAGAAGACTCCTGTCAGCCAATCGTGGACAAGTACATGGTCTTAAGAACCAATCCCCAAGTTTCCATAACAAATGACTAACTCGGACCACTTCTCGGCCTTTCCCTTTAAAATTCCCAGTGTCCCAACTCAGAGTACACTGCTTGGCACTGCCCCCCTCCATACCCCAGGCCCCGAATACTATTCCTTGTTCATGGATCCAAATCATCGTTCCTAGTCTCCAATTCCTATTTCTAGTCATTTGTATTGAATGATCAAATTCAACTTTTTTTTTTTCCTGTTTTTGGGCCACACCAGCAACACTCAGGAATGACTCCTGCCTCTGTGCTCAGGAATTATTCCTGGCAGTGCTCGGGGGATCCCATGGGAAGCTGGGGATTCAAGCAGGATCAGCTGTGTGCAAGCAAGCACTCTATCCATTGCACTGTTTCTCTAGCTTGAATGATCAAACTCTTCCATTTGTGCTTAACAAATTATATTTCAAAAGAAGTCAATATTTCTAGGTTACTAATGACAAAGTACTTTTGTTTTAATTTTAAAATACAGAAATGTTATTTATACAAAAATATGAAAAATACAGATAGTATAAATCAACGCTAGAAAAAAATTAAAGTCACTTAGAGAATGCTATTCAAATATAGTAACTATTGTAATCTTCCGTTCTGGAGAATGGAGAAAGAGCGGGACTTAGGGTACTTGCCTTGCAGACTAATCCCAGTTAATTACCAGTAGCAGTCAGGAGTAAACTTTCAGTACCACTGGGTATGGCCCAAACATCTCCCTCTCTCCAAATAAAAAGAATAAAAAGGGCTAGAACAATAGTACAATGGGTAAGGCACTTGCCTTGCACACAGACGATGTGGAATTTGATCCCTGAAATAACATGTGGTCCCCTGAGCTCCACCAGAAGTGATCTATGAACACAGAGCTGGGAGGAGGCCACGAGTACTGCTAGATATGATCTGACAACCAAGATAAATAACTTCCATTCCTTTTCTAACAAAAAGTTTTATATCATACCTACAGTTTCAATAATATCAGAGTAGAGGTGTTTGTGTACAGTACTATATTTGTCAAAAATAATAAGCAAAAAAAGAAGGAAAAAAATCATTAAAAAAATTTAACTGAGGTACCGTGATTTACAATACTGTTGATGGTGGTCTCATGTATACATCATTCCAACACCATACTCCCCACCAGATACCCAGCAGGGAGTAAAAATCATTTAAATAAAAAGATTAAAATTTCTGGGTAGATGAAGATTATTGCTGAGAAAATTTAGGAGAATCTATGGGAAAGGTATTAGAATTTTTAAAGTACTCCGTTAGGTCACTGGTATCAAAATTAATTTAAAAAAATCAATGTACTCCCACTCACCAGAAATAATAAAGTAGAAAACAGAAAAAAAAAGGACAAAACATATATAACACCTATCCAGAAAAGAGTTAGCAGTACAAATCTGACACTGTTAGTTGTACAAATCTGGTTGGCATCTGAGAACTTGACTGGTTTCCTATATTGATATAAAACTTTCCTGAAATGGGCTGGAGTGAAAGTACAGCAGGGAGGGTGCTTGCTTTCTACAATGCGCTGACCTGGTTTCAATCTCTGGCACCTCATATGGTCCCTGAGTCCAGTCAATGGAGATCCCTGAGCACAGAGCCAGGAATGAGCTCTGAGCACTGCTGTGTGTGGCCCAAACACGAGCCCCTCCCCCCCAAAATTAAAAAATAAAACAAAATTCTCCAAATAAGAGGCTCTCATAATGCTAAAGCAATTGCATAATGTGGTTTATGAGGAATCCCAGGTTTACTTCTTGGAAACTAGGATTGTAGTACCATTAAAAGGGATGCTTATATCCAGCCCCTGATTAGAACCTAGTATACCAAGCAAGTCTGTATAGATCTTCCTGATAGACAATGTTGCCTACATGCTATCATAACTCATTACTGGGAAAATTATATCTAAGTCTACCTTGTGGGGCTTCCCTAGGGGAGGATTTTTGAAAGCTTGCAATCTTTGGTTCCCTTTGAACTTTGCTTCATGTGCCTTTTCCCTTTATTCTGGATCCTTCTAATGAATCACTGAATCTCACAGTGATTTGGGATGCCCTAAACAAAACATCATTATGGAAATAAATACTAAATAAATACTAAATAGTGGGCTGGAACAATAGCACAGCAGTAGGGCGTTTGCCTTGCCCAAGGCTGGCCTGGCTGAGCCGGGTTCGATTTCTCCACCCCTCTCGGAAAGCCCAGCAAGCTAACGAGAGTATCTTGCTTGCACGGCAAAGCCTGGCAAGCTACTCGTGACATATTCGATATGCCAAACACAGTAACAACAAGTCTCACAATGGAGACGTTATTGGGCCCGCGCGAGCAAATCTATGAACAACGGGAGGACAACGCTACAGTGCTACAGTCATTAAAGACAAAAAAAAAAAGACCTAAGTAAATGAAGCATTATGTCAAGAGTGAGGAAAAATGTAATGCCAGCCCCACCCCATTCATATATTTATTGTAATTCCAATCAAAACACCAGCACAGATATTTTTAGTGATTCTTGATAAGTAAATCCTATGGTAACTATGGAACAGCAACAAGCCAAGAATAACCAACTGTGAAGAAGAACAGATGGTAGAATTCTCCCAGTCTAGGGTCAGAAGTTACTATAAAGATACAGTAATTAGACAGCAGGGAGGTTATCTTAATGGGGCTTTTTATAGAATTTGACAAGATGGCTCTAATGTTTATAAAAAGAAGCAAAGTCCAAAATAGCCAAGACATTTTGAATGAAGATGATCAAAGAGCTGTACCAAACAGTAAGTTTTATAAAACTACAGAAAGTGCAATGGCAAAACACTAGTAGTTAATAGCAATAAGAGAATAAAATGGAAAGCACAAGATATATAAGATATACGGACACTTGACATACTAGATCCTGTGGTAAGGACCAGTAAGTATGCTGGGGCAACTCTAGGAGTACTCCACAAATAAGGGGAAACATTTAAATCTCAGTCCCAAACTAGTCTCAATCCTCTTCTGTAGGCTTGAAATACTTCACACTAAAACTTGATTTGACCAAGTGCATACATTAAAGTCTCTATCCTATTGGTAAACCATGAGCAAACAATGATAATTTCATTTGCTCAGGACCCAAAGGAACCACCAACTTATTAGAAGAAAAAGCACTTAACTTTTCATCATCTATTTTAATAATAGGAATCTTACCTCATAGATTCTGGCAATTCCACAAAGTAGGGTTACTTCTCCTGGAAATCTGTCTAAGCCTTGTTTGAAAAGATTTAAAGCAGTCACAGGTTGATCCAATGAATTGTATACCTAAAACCAAGATACATACACTTCTGTGAAATTACTGGTTTTTAAGATAAGTGTTCATTCTAACAAATTTATAATTACTGCATAGCAACCAGTTAAAATTTAAAAAATAATGTTCCTCAAGTTTGGTTTGAGCTCTATTATTTAGCAATCAATCCTGAATATATTTGAGAAAATAAGCAAATTTACTTCAATACAATCATAAAGGCAATAATACATTTCTTAAAAAATCAACGTATGGAAAAATAAGTAATATATTTGGCAACAGTCAAAATAAATAAACCATTTTTTACTACAATGCAAGCGACTATCTTAATAGATGATAGTCAGAAAATGAGAAATGAGTATTAATTTCAAGCCGTCAGAAACTTCTCATGATGTTCAATTTATAATGTATAGAAGATGTTAAGCTTAATTTATACTGCATAGAAGATAAACTTAGATTCTAGATGTTCCAAAAATTTCTGAAAACCACTAGAAAGTAAGTTAATATGGCATAACTTTCCATTGGTAACCATTTTTAATACTATATTTCAAAAATAGCAGCATTTCTTTTTATATATACCTCAGCCCTTTTTGAACCTCCTTTACAACACTTTTTAATCTTTAATTTTTTTTTCTTTTTGGGTCACACCTGGCAATGCACAGGGGTTACTCCTGGCTCTGCACTCAGGAATTACTCCTGGCGTTGCTCAGGAACCATATGGGATGCTGCGAATCAAACCCAGGTTGGCCGCATGCAAGGCAAACACTCTACCTGCTGTACTATCGCTCCAGCCCCAATCTTTAAATTCTTTTTTTTAATTAGTGAAACACCATGAGGTACAGTTGTAGACTTAGAAACTTTTGTGCTTGGGATTCAGTTATACAATGATTGAGTACCCATCCCTCCATCAGTGCCCATTCTTCACCACCAATGATCCCAGTAGCCCTCCCATCCCCCACCCCATCTCCCCCCACCCCACCCCACCTCTGTGGCAGGGCATTTCCTTTTGCTCACTTTTTCCTTTAGGGTATTGTAGTTTGCAATAGAGGTATTGAGTGGCCATCATGTTCGGTCTATAGTCTACTTTTAGCACACATCTCACATCCCGAGCGAGTCCTCTAAACATCCTTAACTTGGTGTTCCCTTCTCTATCTGAGCTGCCTTTTTCACAGCATGTGCTGCCAGCTTCCAAGCCATGGAGCAGACCTCCTGGTACTTATCTCAACTATTCTTGGGTGTTCGACTCCTATTCTGTTACTTTATAATCCCCAGATGAGTGCAGTCTTTCTATGCCTGTCCCTCTCTTTCTGGCTCATTTCACTTAGCATGATACTTTCCATGTAGAATCACTTGTATGTAAATTTCATGACTTCATAGCAAAGCAGTAGGGCGTTTGCCTTGTGCGCAGGCAGCCTAGCTGAGCCGGGTTCAATTCTTCCGTCCCTCTCGGAGAGCCCAGCAAGCTACCGAGTATCTCGCCCGCACAGCAAAGCCTGGCAAGCTACCTGTGATATATTCGATATGCCAAACACAGTAACAAAAAATCTCACGATGGAGACGTTACTGGCCCGCTTGAGCAAATCAATGAACAACGGGAGGACAGTGCTACAGTGTATCTTAGAGAAGGACCAACAAAAGGAGCCCAAACCAGGCAGAAGGAAAGAGATCATAAAACTTAGAGCAGAAATCAATGATATGGAAACCCAAAAAACAGTCCGAAAGATCAATGAAACCAAGAGCTGGTTCTTTGAGAAAATAAGCAAGACAGATAAACCACTAGCAAGACTCACAAAGAAAGAGAGAGAGAGAGAACCCTAATAAACCAAATCAGAAATGAGAAGGGATATCACAACAGAAACCAAAGAAACTCAAAAGATCATCAGAGAATACTTTGAAAGTCTGTATGCCACGAAACAAGAGAACCTAGAAGAAATGGATAAATTCCTGGATTCCTATAATCTCCCAAGACTGAATCAAGAAGATTTAGAATACCTGAATAGTCCTATTAATATCAAGGAAATTGAAACTGTAATCAAAAGTCTCCCCCAAAACAAAAGCCCAGGTCCAGATGGATTCACCAGCGAATTTTTCCAAACATTTAAAGAATGGCCAGTTCTTCTCAAGCTTTTCCAGGAAACTGAAGAAACAGAAACTTTCCCAAACAGTTTCTATGATGCTCATATCTCTCTAATACCAAAAGGAAACAAAGACACCACAAGAAAAGAAAACTACAGGCCGATATCCCTGATGAACACAGATCTGAAGAGTCTCAACAAAATACTAGCAAAGAGAATTCAACAACTCATCAAAAAGATCATATACCATGACCAAGTGGGATTCATCCCAGGGATGCAAGGATGGTTTAACATTTGGAAATCAATCAACATAATCCATCATATCAACAAAAGAAAAGATAAAAGTCATATGATCATATCAATAGATGCAGAGAAAGCATTTGACAAGATCCAATCTTTAAATTCTGAAAGAAAGAGCAGGATAAGCAATACTACTCCTGGGAATATATCCCAGAGAGGCAAAATAGTATAGTCGAAGTGACATCTGCACTTGTTTGTTCATTGCAGCACTCTTTACAATAGCCAGAATCTGGGAAAAACCTGAGTGCCCAAAAACAGATGACAGGTTAAAGAAACTTTGGCACATCTACACAATGGAGTGAGAAAATAAGCAAGATAGATAAACGACTAGCAAGACTCACAAAGAAAGAGAGAGAGAGAGAACCCTAATAAACCGAATCAGAAATGAGAAGGGAGATATCACAACAGAAACCAAAGAAATTCAAAAGATCATTAGAGACTACTTTGAAAGTCTGTATGCCACAAAACAAGAGAACCTAACTATGTAGCTGTTAGAAAAGATGAAGTCATGAAATTTACATACAAGTGGTACTACATGGGAAGTATCATGCTCAGCAAAATGAGTCAGAAAGAAAGGAACAGACATAGAAAGATTGCATTCATCTAGGGGACATAAAGTAACAAAATAGGAGACTAGCACCCAAGAATAGCCAAGATAAGTACCAGGATGTTAACTCCATGGCTTGGAGGCCAGCTGCACATGCTAGGAGAAAAGGTAGCTCAGATAGAGAAGGGAGCACCAAATAAAGGGTGTTGGAAGGATCCTCCCAGGATGGGAGATGCATGCTGAAAGTAGACTATAGACCGAACATGATTGCCACTCAATGCCTCTTTTGCAAACCACAGCACCCAAAAGGAGAGAGAGAACAAAAGGGAATGCCTTACCACAGAGGCAGGGTGGGATGGGGGGGATGAGGGGTGGGAGGGGTACTGGGATCAGTGGTGGTGGAAAATGGGCACTGGTGGAGGGATGGGTACTCGATTATTGTATAACTGAAACTCAAGCACAAAAATTTGTAAGTCTACAACTGTATCTCCAGGTGTTTCACTAATAAAAATTTTTAAAAAATAGCAGGATAGCTCTGGAGAAATAGTACAGGAATTAAGGTTTGCCTTGCATGTGGCGATCCTAGGTTTGAGCCCTGAGCCCAGCACTCAGAGCAACCTCCAAGCACTTCCAGGAGGATCCTAAGCCCCATCCCCACCCCACCCACCCCAAAAAATGAACAGGAAAGAAGAGCAAGACATCCTAACTCCTACTCCATCAAATGTTTTCTTGATCAACTTGGTGGGGACAAAACTAAATTTGTCCCAACCCTGAAAATGCTTGGTGGTTCCTTGCCAGCAATATTCCATGTTGTGTGGCACAAGGGGACAGTGACTTGGCTCTAGAAGCAGAAAGACCTAACTTGGGACGCTGGTGTTTACTGACGATGGAGCCCTAAAAGCCTTACTCTTTTTGAGTGCCCTTTGCCCAGGACTCCAAAGGCAATGGTCTAACCTGCTTTGCAGGGTCGCTATGAAGGTTAAATGATACCCGACCCCATGGGATACAGCAGAGGAAACACTCCAAAGTCCCAAAGGAGACAATCCCTGTTCTCTGTGGCCGCCAATGTGCCAGAGCAAAGAGGGTCTCTGGAGAACTGCTCCCCAGGGGATAACAGCAGCCAGGAATCTCCCCTCCAGTGGGCAACCCTTCCAAGGGGTTTTCTTATTTTCCTCCTGAGTCGGTTACCCTCCATATGCTCTCACTTAGTCCCAGGCGACGAAGGAAAACAAGCCTGAACATATTAATTTGCCAAAAATTCCTCAAGAAACTGGCAATGCTCCTCGGTGCAGAATCTGAACATTTATTCTGGGAAGAATGATTTCACTTAAAATGAAGAGTACTTACTTTAGCCAAGTAGAGAAAGGTATCCACCATTTCTTGCTGCGTCAGAGCTGATCTGAACTGCTTTTCTGCGTCCCGATACATTCCCAGCCTAAGAACAGCCATTTGAAAAGTCATAAACATTTCAACTTGAACATCGGTAATCCAGCATCTAGTCATACCCTGGGAATAGCACTAGAAACAAATTACATCTATACAAGAAAGCATGAACCACAGAAAAATGTCATACACATACATTAATATTGACATATATGTTTTTATACTTGAGCAAGAAGTTTTCTGCTTTCCATATTCACTGGCGATACAAACCCCAAAGGCAGCGTGGAGGGTCATCACGGCTGCCCATAAGCCAGGTCAAGCCAGTTCACACAACCAAAGAGCTTACAATCAGCTGGACATATGGCAAGTGACCTGAATAAATATTTAGGCTCTGTTTTTTTATTAGCAGACCTAAACAGGGGTATGCCTTTGAAAGCACCTTCTGCTCTGATATCAAAACTCATTTCTTAAAGGTACCCTTACACAATTTTGATACAAATTCTAATCACTACTTGAATAATATGGCATATTACTTTTCTATTCCAAGCAGATTTTTTCCCCTATTTTTGGAACCTTACACTAATTGTTTGTAACTAACGCCAATACCCATTGTTACCAGGAAGCTGGGGTAAAGCATACCCCTGCTATCCTTAACATAGTGGGTTTCCACAACTCCTCATCCCTAACATCTACTTAGGTACTTTATGATCATACTTTTATTTTGTGAAATAGCACTGTAGCACTATCCTCCCATTGTTCATCAATTTGCTCGAGCGGGTCCAGTAACGTCTCCATTGCGAGACTTGTTGTTACTGTGTTTGGCATACCGAATGCGTCATGGGTAGCTTGCCAGGCTTTGCTGTGCAGGTGAGATACTCTCGGTAGCTTGCTGGGCTCTCTGAGAGGGGCGGAGGAATCGAACCTGAGTCGGCCAGGTCTGCCGCGTGCAAGGCAAATGCACTACCCGCTGGGCTATAAAGTCAGAAAAACACAGTTATGCTCCACAGTTCTACTTTCATTTAAAGAGTAGGAAGAATAGCTTTGATCCTTCCTAATCCAAGCCTCAAGCACTGATATGGTTACATGCAAAAAGCTATCAGAAAGTGTGGAATAAAAGGGTTTGAACAACCTCCCCACAACTCTCCAGAGAAAAAAAAAAACAAAAAACAAAAAATGCCTCAAGTTACATGAAATATAACCAGGTTGACAGCCTCACTTTTAAAGATTGTACTTTACAATAATTTTTTTAAGTCACCATGAACTACAAAATTATTTATGATTAGGTTCCAAGCATATAATGTGCCAATAACTATCTCTTCACCTCCACCAATTCCCAGCTTCCCTCCCACCCACGGCCTACTTCTATAACAGGGAATTTTTTAAAATAAATTTTTCTTTTTTGTTTTGGGGCCACACCTTGTGGCTTACTGAGCTCAGGGATCGCTCCTGGTGTGTATGGGGTGCTAGGGATCAAGCCTAGGTGGGTCACATGCAAGGCAAGCTCTCTACCTATTGTACTATCGCTCTGATTCCCCCCGCCTTTTTTAAATAAACTTTTGGCACTGTATGGGATATTACAAAACATAGAAACATAGTATGAGACTAACACCCAAGGACAGTAGAAACAAGGGCCAAGAAGATTGGTCCATGCTTGAACCAATCCTCATGGGCTGGGGGAGAGGGCAGTTGGGATAGAGAAGAGACAACTATGACAATGATGGTTGGAAGGGATCACTTTGGATAGGAGATGTGTGCTGAAAGTGGTTAGAGGACCAAACATGATGGGAGTATCTGTACTTCAAACCATCATACCCAAAAAGAGACAGAGTCAGAGACAGAGACAGACACAGAGAGAGAGAGAGAGAGAGAGAGAGAGAGAGAGAGAGAGAGAGAGAGAAGGAGGGAGACAGAGAGAAGAGAAAGAGAGAGAGAGAGAGAGAAGAAGAAGAAGAAGAAAAAGTGCCTGCCATAGAGACAGGTTGGAGTCAGGGACAGTTGTGGCAGGAGGGATATGGAGGATATTGGTGGTGGGAAATGTACACTGGTGGAAGGATGGATGTTGGAACACTGTGTGACTGAAACCTGATCATGAAAGGTTTGTAACTGTGTCTCTCACAGTGATTCAAAAAAAAATTGGCTTATATATAATACAATATACATATTATATAAGTAATATATGTGTATAACGTCAACAGAATCTGTCAGTTTAAACCAGTAGCTGAGTTTCATGAACACCTAACATCCAGGATAATCTGTGTAACATTATCTAATAAATTGTTTCAAAAAATTATTTTTAAAGAATTATAGTCAAAAGAAACATCTAAAGCAAGAATAAAAAACACAAACAGATCCATTAAAATGATGAAATGTTGGAGAGATGCCTCAAAAGTCTGGACCACAGCTTCACATGCAGGAGGCCTGGGTTTGATCCCTGGCATCACATGGTCCTGAGTGCCCCCTCAGCTCCACGGGGAAGACCTCTGGTCACCACTGTGGGTGGCTCCCCAAAAAGCAAAGTAAATAAGTAAATAAACACATATGACAATGTGAATAAAAACAAACATCTCAAAAAAACTGAAACAAAAAATTTTAATTTAAGTTTAAAAATAATTTTTTAAAAATGATCAGAGTTATCAAGCTACTGAAAACCAAGAAAGAGAGAAAGGTCAGGCTATATAATCGATGTATCCTTAAGAACTCTTAAAACTTGTAAAACTGTCTATAGAACTTCTGAAAACAAATTTACTTCTAAGGTGTTTTTGTTAAACAAATGAGGTACATATCAGGGCAGGAGAAAAAGAATAGTGAACAAGGTGCTTGCCTTGCATGTGACCAACCTGGTTTTGATCCCTGGCACCATATATGGTCCCCTGCGCAATGCCAGGAGTGATTCCTAAGCACAGAGTCAGGAGTAAGTAATGAGCACCACTGAGTGTGCCTTCCACAAAATGGGCGCGCTACATAGAAAGCCTAGAAATAATCAAAATATCAATAAAGTCCATAAACATGGATCAAGATCAGCCTCAGAGCCCAGAAATAATTCTCACCAACTGCCAATTCTTCTCCCTAATTTAATTCATTTAAACAATTCAAGCACCAACTGCCTGCATATTTCCTGGTAGTAAGAAGATCCAAAAATGAAAATAACAACCATGCCCTGAGGACACCGATAAAGACTGAAACAAAACATGTACACAAATAAATTTAAATAAGTGCAATTGTATTATCACAGCAATGAGGAAAACAAAAGGTGCTTTGAGAGCACACAGTTCTACGTGAAACACCTAAATGAAAACTAGCCTAATTTCAGCTGACGAAGAACAAGCAGCCTTTTCATTCCATTTACCTATTAGCTTTTCCTCATAGTACAAGGACAGCTACAACTCATACTAATGGGTATTCACGAGAATTGAAGCCCACCTTGATTTGTATTAGAAATATTTATCTTTATGAAATACAATTAGCCATTTGTCTCTTCACACACCTCGGGTCAATAGCAGCTAACAAGTTTCAAGTCTTCTTTACTCAATGCAAGATAAAGATATTCAAGAATCTGACTATATATTTTCTGATCTTCCGATCTGCTTTAAAAAAATATGTGTATGCATCAAATGAATCAATGGAACAATCTCAGGTTCAGAATTATGGGTATGGTAAGAAACTTGGCATCAAAAAAGCTGAGTTCAAACTTTTGCTCTGCCATTGACTTGTTATACAAGTTCAGCTAAGTCCCTCTCTCTGTCTAGAGCTATCTGTGTCACTGGGGAAGCACATAGCATCTATTTCCAGGATGCTGGGAGGCTAAAATCAGATACGGAACATACGAACAAACTCTTTCTCTACTGTAAAGCACTTTACAAACACGATGCCTCAGGAAACAAGACCTGAGAGCCAAGAGAAGTAGGAATCGAGAGACTGAATTCTAGTCCTGGGGTATTATGAGGTTCTGATGTAAATCTTAGCCTTTCCTAGCCTCTGCTTCCTCAACTGAAAAAAAAAAAAAGGTGAGACCTAATTGTCTCAAAGGTGACTTTTCTGGCTCAAAATGTTTATGACTATCACCAAAATTTATTATTCTAATTATAAAAATTTTATTTCTCTTTGGGGCAAGGGGGCATACCCAGTTATGCTCAGGGCTTACTCCAACTCTGTGATTCAGGATCACTCCTGGCAGTGCTCAAAGGAACATAAGTAAGTGTGAGGATCAAACCTGGATTGGCTGAGAGACAGGGGGTGGAGAAGTGCCTGCCATAGAGGCAGGCTGGGGGTTAGAGGGTGCTGGTGGAAGGGAAACCAGGGACACTGGTGGTGAGAAATGTACACTAGTGGAGGGATGGGTATTGGAATACCGTTTGACTGAAACCTAACCATGAACAGCTTTGTAAGGGTCTATCTTGCAGTGATTCGATTAAAAAAAAATTTAAAAACCTGGGTTGGTTTCATGCAAGGCGAGCATCTAACCCACTGTACTATCACTCTGGCCCAAAACTTTATTAATCTAAAGGGTGTTAGTTCTTAAATATACAATGTGATTGTTAAATGGACACTTTCTCCAGTAAATCCAAACATTTTTCATTGCTCATGACAAAATCTATATTCATCACCCTCCCAAAAAAAAACCCAAAACATCAGAGTTGGAAAACTCCACAATACATTGCCCCTGCTAATCCCTTCACAAACAATCAAATTTTTACCTGTAGTAACACTTTCCAATCTGTACTTTCCACCACCAGTCCTTGTACTGAGAGTGCTCTGTGGAAAGGGCGGCCAAATCCAAAGCCTTTGAAAACAATTCATTTTAGATTAGAATTTTCTTCTCTGACAATCAACAGAAACAAGAGATAATGAAATAAATGGTGTAATTAGCATCAATCAAAACATGCATTAGAAATCAGACAGAAACTCGAATTGCTCGTGTTTCCAGATGGCCCCGCCAATTTCCCCTAAATAATCAGTTCCAGAGCCAAGGGCTGACAGAAGATGAGAAGTAAACACTGATCAAAGGGAAGCCAGTGTACAATAGATTTGAATGATTTTAATATACAAGGTACACATGAGACCCTGAAATCTGTAGGGTTTTTGCCCCCTCCCCATCAAAATGCCTCCAGAGCCAGAGCAAGTGAACACTGTGTCGTGGGGGTCAAGACTGGGTTGTGTTTGTTATCCAGGTTCCCAGGGAGGCCCAGGTTCAAGATGCATGTGGAGAAATCGAGAAAGACGGAGTAAGCAGAGAGAAATTTGGAAAATAGGGTCATGAAAGAGAGACAGGAGCTGCAGTGCTTGGATAATCACCATGATCACATTAGCTGGATGTCATTTACATTCCAGTTATCCTAAGGTCAGACTTTTCTTGGCAGAAGATGCAAAAAGATCTTAATTGCTTTCATATTTGACATCTGCTTATCTCCTTCTCTCTAATGTCTTCCAGTCTGCCCCTCCCAGTTTAGTGAGCATCAGGCAAAAGAGGACTAAATGGAAATCAGGATTTTATACAGAGGAAGTGGAAACCATTTGGACAAAAAGAGGAAAGGAAATCAATCTTCAGACAAATTGGAAGCTCACAGAAATCTAACACTCATGTAAAGATAGGCTGAATAAAAACTTGGATAACTGATTAGAAGAGACTATGGAGTTTTTATAATACTTATTATTCATTCTCTGAAGGTTGGAAACTTCTGCTTTTCATTCCATGTTAATAGAATTATGATATCCAAAATTCACTTAAAGTTAACACCTAGATTTTCAGTCCTATTATCTCAGAATGCATCCCATATTGTCCCTTTTTAAATATTAACTCTTCTGAAGTTAATGCCAGAAGAGTATGTTGAATTTTCTTCTGTAAAATTAGTAACTTTTTCTCGTGTTACTTCTTTTGCTCCAGGAATATTTTTACTGATTTAATTCTAATGGTTTGTTTTTAAGAATATATATATATATGTATTTGCTTTTTGGGTCACACCCAGTGATGCACAGGGGTTACTCCTGGCTCTCCTGGCGGTGCTCAGGGGACCATATGGGATGCTGGGAATCGGACCCGGGTTGGCCACGTGCAAGGCAAATGCCCTACCCACTGTGCTATCACTCCAGCCCCAAGAATATATATTCTTAAGAAAATATATACTGGGGCTGAAATGATAATATAGTGTGTAGGGCATTTGCTTTGCACGCTGCTGACCTAGGTTTGATATCCGGCATCCTATATGGTCCCCAGTACTGCCAGGAGTGATTCCTGAGTACAGAGCCAGGAGTAACCCCTGAGCATCATCGGGTGCGACCCCGAAAGTGAAATAAATAAATAAAGAACTTGTCTTTAAAAAAAAAGAATATATATTCTTAGTACACATTCTGATTTGTGTGTGTATATGTGTGTGATTGTTTGTGTGTGTGTGTGCATGTGTATGTGTGCTCCTTCCAAGAGGTGGTGCTTAAGGGACCCTCTGACCAATGCGGCAGGCCATCCAATTGGGGCCCCCCAGGATGCAGCGCTGCTCAGGCCCTCTGGTGTGAGGGATACCTGAGATATCCAGAGGTGTCTGGGCAGGCCTTCAGGGCTGTCCCAGCAATGATCAAGAGATCATGTGGTGCCATGAACCAAACCAAGATTGGCAGCATGCAAGGCATGTGCCTTAATCCCTATACTACCTTTCTGACCCCCAGGGACAATTTTATTTTCTTTTGATCCTATTATTTTTTAAATACTTTTTAAAATTTAATTAAAGAACTCTAATTCATAAAGTTAGTTGAGTTTTAGGCATATAGTATTTCAATACCAACCCCTCCACCAGTGTTAACTTCCCTCCACCAGTTTTCCCAGATTCTGGCCACATCCACACCCCCACTCCCACCCCCACCTGTCACCTTCACAGGCACATGACAAGGTTCCAGTGGTTACCACTCAGATCTCACGTTCTCAGTGTTGTTGAGTCTGTGCTTGGGATACACATGGCCACAGCATTCTCCCACGTCACCTGTGTAACTGAAGTCCTGACCCTGTTCATCCATTACTTCCCTTTCTCTTTTACCAGAGAAAATTTGAAATAGGCACACTATTTATAAACAACTGGTATCATTATGTTTTTCTAATGAAGTTGAAAGATCAATATGTATACTTTAAAGTTATGCAAATAACTGTCTCTCTTTCATGTGATTAGTTATTAATTTGTTGGTTTGGGGGCCATACCTTGCATTTCTCAGGACTTAGTCCTGGCTCTGTGCTCAGGGATCACTCCTGGCGGGACTCATAGGACCATATGCAGTGCCAGGGATCAAATCTGGGTCAGTCAGGGGTGCAAGACAAGTGCCTTGCCATGCTATATTATCTGGCTCATCATATATTTTTCCCCTGCTCCAAAGCTAGAAATAAAAACAGCCCCAAAATGAGAAAAGCAAGCATAACTGCAATTAGCATTATCTCTGTAAATACTCAAAAGATGTACTTCCATCAGTTCAATTCATGGGTACATTATAAACATCAAAATACATTAATCTTCGCTAAATTGAGGCAAATAGATCATGCTCACTCTAATGCGGAATATTAAGGCTTTCCATTTCTCAGGAAAATATGTCATTCTAAAAATGTTTACATGCTCTAATTTTCCAAAATTAGATTTAGCTCTGCTTTCAGATATGATCCTGAAACAAAACTTCCCTAGTAACATCTATATGCTTGTGATAATAAATTAAGGAAATTGGCATGAATTGCTAATATGGCTTTTAAATGATTAAAATACACAGTGATAGAACACAGTATGTCTAAAATCCAACTACGTAACACAATTTGTAACTCACAGTTCTTTAAAAAACAAAATTTTTCAAAAATAAATAAAAGCACATTTTAGCGGTCAGGAGATACTACAAAGAGTTAAGGTGCTTGCCTTAAATCCCACTAACCCCAATTTGCATCCCTAGTACCACATACACGCACCTCAAGGACGACCAGGAGTGACCCCTGAGCATGGAGCCAGGAACAGCTCTTGAGCACCTCTGAGTATAGCTCAAAATTCAAAAGAATAAAAATAAATATAAAAGAAAGAAAAACACACTTTACCGATCATTCTTCATATGGAGGTAGGCTACTTAGACAAAACTACTCATCACTATTTCAAATAAAACTTAACTTCCCTGAGGACAGCCCCCTGCCCTACATCCCCATGCACCTGTTGTTCTGATGTGTCACTATACGAAGGTGCTCAGAATTATTTATGAATTAATTATTTACTAAACTGATTCAATCCTTTGTTTATGAACTATGTGGGAAATAACTTCTGAACCAGACAAAGCTGTCACAGAAATATGGTTCATAATTATGTCATTAACATTTGAACATTTTAAAAAGTGGTGACAGGTGATCTCTATTTCTCTAAAGACCAAATTTTTTAAAACTAATGATGACAGGCTTATATTTAAGGATCACTGGATAATTGATTCAATCAATTGAGTATCCTCAGATTACCAAAGACTTAAGAATGTCATTTTTAAAAAGCCCTGAAGTTGTGAAAATTTGTAAGTAGAGAATACTCAGGAAGATTTAGAGAGCCTGTCTGCAAATATATACAACTAGGTGTCCAAATGAAATTTCATAATTTTTTGTATTCCAATTATAATTTTTTTTTTTTGCTTTTTGGGTCATACTCAGCAATTCTCAGGGTTACTCCTGGCTCTGCACTCAGGAATTCCTCCTGGCAGTGCTTGGGGGACCATATGGGATACTGGGGGTTGAACCCGGGTCGGCCATATGCAAGGCAAATGTCCTACCTGCTGTACTATCGCTCCGGCCCCCACCAATTGTATATTTTTTAAAGGTTTTATTTTTTTTTAATTTTCACTGTTGTTTTAGTTCCATCAGTTCAGGTTGATGAAATTCAAGTGCCTAAAAATAAAGGTTGCAAAATCACCAGTCCACATGCACTCTAGTTTGGTCAATACTGCCAATAGGGCCACCAAAACGGAGTGGGGCTGGAGTCAATAACTCAGATTACAAAAAAACAAACAGTTTTCCATAATCAATCTTACTTTTGCTTAGTTATTAAACACTATTTTGCAATGGCTGAAGCAATAGTACAGTGTGTAGGGCGCTTGCCTTGCACACAGCTGACTAGGGTTCAATATCCAGGTCCCATAGGGCACTAAGAGCACTGCCAAGAGTAGTTTCTTCTGAGTGCAGGGCCAGGAGTTAACCCTGAGCACTGCTGGGGATGGCCCCCAAACAAACAAACAAAACCCCCCAATATACTAGTTACTTTGTAAATAAATAAAAATCTCCATTTGGTCTTCAATATTCTCTTTATTTGTGTGAAAGAGTTTATTTTTTTAAAAAAATTTGAAGGTCCAAAGTAACTAATATAATGACACCTCTCGGTTGTGAGCGACAGCACAGCAAGTAGGGTGCTTGCCTTGCATGTGGTTGACCTTGCACCTGGTCAACTCACTTTGAATTCCTAGTACCCTAGGACTTCAGCCTTGCCAGGAATGGCCTGAACAAGGAGTAAGTCCCAAGTTCCAACAGGTATGGCCTCAAAAATTAAAGCATAAAATAAATTAATACTAAAAACTAAAAAAAAAAGCCCAAGACGTTGGTTTTATGAATATTTCTTTTTTTTTTTTTGCTTTTTGGGGTCACACCCGGCGATGCACAGGGGTTACTCCTGGCTCTGCACTCAGGAATTATCCCTGGCGGTGTTCAAGGGACCATATGGGATGCTAAGAATTGAACCCGGGTCAGCCGCATGCAAGGCAAACGCACTACCCACTGTGCTATCACTCCAGCTCCTTATGAACATT